TCTTTAATAATAATTTTAATTAAATGAAGATATGTTTATTACATAAATGATTGGCATATAGCCAGAGTTAAAAGACTAGTAAAACTTAAACTTTAATACGTAGAAGAAAAAAATGTCCATATATAAGTTAGAGGACACCGAAACGTGCAAAGGATCAAAATCTCCGTCAAAAGCTCTCCCATTCGGTAATACTGCTGTGAGTGATTTCACAGTAAGTAGAACAAAGAAATTTTCCAGAAATAAAACAAAGGAATTTTCGAAAAGTTTTTGATGACATTAAAGTTGCCATAATATTTCGAGTGATCGCCAATGATCACTCTTTTCCTTTTCTGATATTTTAGTGACAATAAAAATAGTCATAGTTTTACAAATCTGATGAAAGTAATAGTCGCATATTCTTGACAATTTCATCACTTTTCCTGTGACCCTAATAGCACAATGCATATGTGGACAATGTAAATACAACGAATTGTTTATAAAACTATAACTTTTAATGTTATCAAAAATATTTCAATTTAATTACTGTTTATTTTTATCCATTAAATAGATGTTTTTGATACTTTTTTGACAAATCTTCATTACTTTTTTTTTAAAAAAAAACAGATAAACTTTTTGATAAAGCCATGCTATTATTAAATGCACAAATTTAGTGCTTAATGTGTCAAAAATTGCTTCCGTAAGATCTGATCCAACAGCCAAACATAGATTCGATTGTTAGAAAGTTCCAGCTGTTTGTTCACTAACTTTCTTTGTTCTAAACCAAATGTACTTTGCAATGTCGGAATATTCTTCCAGTCTGGCAGTCACTTCTATGAGCAACTACTATAATGTTACAAAGCAATTCCCATGATATAAAGAGTAAAGGTGACCCGCCAGTGACAGCGCTTTATTCGATGTAATCGTTTTAGGTCAAATTTTATTGTAAGTCAATGCTCACTATATGAGTTAAACCTAATGTCTTAATCAGTTCTTCACTACCAGGAAGCTTCAATTCAACCAAAAAAAAAGAGAGATGACATATTATAACTTTATTTTGCGAAAATTATAGTTAGCTTTACTAAATTTGCATATTTAATATTAACATGTGGCTTTATCACAATGTTTGATTTATCTGTTTTTTTCCGAAAATAATAAAAATTTATCAAAAAATATCAAAAACATCTATTTGATGCGACAAAAACAAACAGTAGTTAAATTGAAATATTTTTGATAACATTAAAAGCAGTCATAGTTCTACAAATGATTCGTTATATCTATATATGCATTGTGCGATTAGGATCATAGTAAAAGTTAAGGAAATTTATCAAAAAGAATATGCGATTATTATTTAAATCAAAAAAGTAAAGGAGTTATCATTGGCCATCACTTGGAATACTACGCCTACTTTGATGTCATCAAACCCTTCTGGAAAATTCCTTTGTTCTTCTACTTATTCTAAAACCACTTACATTACTGAATGAGTAAGCTTTTGGCGGGGTTTTGATGTTTTGCATGCTTCGGTGTCCTCTAACTTAAAATGAGATGAAGGAATCGTTCACTATTAGTTTCATGTACTCACTTTTTGGAAGAAGCTCTAAATTCTTAATTAGTTAAACATGCAAAACTATTTATAGTGATATAACATGCGGAAATAACAACAGAGCAGATAATTTTTATTAGAATAAATAAAAAAGAGTCTTATACAATGGAATATTTATATATACAATGGAATATTAAATGTAGGCCTGGAATTAAATTATAAGTATGACATTGCATAGAAATATGTTATTGGATTTATGTAAAATAAACTGCTGAAATAAACTTCATTGAATGCCTCCTTCATCCTGCTGTTCGTCTATATTCAAAATTTTAGTCTGATTTCGTACCAGCAAAAGTGCAACAATTGCTTTTTGTAAGCCAGTAGAGCTCACTGCATTGCACTGATGGGTGGAATATTTAGAAATGCTTCCGCTTCCTTTTTAAAATCTAAAAATGCATCACTTAATTTGCACTAAATGTTTACGTTCGTCATTGTCTATTTAACTTAATTTTTTTTTTAACACGGTGTCGACCACATAACAGAGATTAGAAAAACACCAGAAACAATAATAAAGGATAGTTCCGAAAAGCAATATTTCATTTAGTCTGTCGCTTAGGCTAAACTCAACACCTTTCTAGTCGAAAATATGTTTTGCTTTACTTCAATCTTGATCTATATCAGTGCCACTTCTAAATCAAGTTATTATTTCTAAATTATTTTTCGCCGGAAGTAATTTTCTTCTCTCTTCTTCTCCATTACTTACAACACTAAATTACAATTTCTCATACAACTTAATCGACATGCAACGAAATTGATAGTCGTTGCTTGTCATTTGTTCAGAATAGTCAGAAAACATGCATCGACAATTACTCGTTTGGCAAATCTTTTCGTTAAACTATTTCGAGCTTCTTTAAAGCATTTCTGACATGATCTATTATCCACTCGAAAAATCAAGATTGGATACTACGAAAAATATATTTTTGCCATAACAATGACAACAAGAGGCTAAGTATACGCGATGTATACCGGGAAAACCAGTTATAATAACATGTTTGAATAAAACTGTATTAAATACAAAGAACTAAAGATTCCCTTAATTGAATATTCCTTAGACAAACATAAAATTGTTTCAAATTTATACATCATCTAAGTAATCATTTATCCACCAGTCATTTTCCAATTGCAATTGAGCTTATCTGCCACATTCTAGAATGTCACAGTCGTTAGTAAAGAATATGCGTAGTGCTTAATATGATAAAAAGTGTTCCTTTGTTCCGAACCTAATCTATATGCAGTGCTGAAACATTGTACAACTTTTCTAAACTTAACTATGTAAAGAGTAAAGATAACTCTATAGTTGTAATCTCACTGATTACCACTATATGAGGACTTGAGCCAGTTTTGATGGACAACGAACCTCACTTCGACTCGTTTCACTACTTCCGCTACAACGAGGTAACCTTTGATCTACAGAAAACTCCAACCAACTTCCTATACCTGTCGTGAAAGTTTTGAAGATTTATTATTTTGGGAAAGACTGTTGATTTCGGGAAGATTCGTTGGATGAGGTGTAAATATGTGGAGTAACAGAGGGATATAATGATTTCTTTATTAGCAGAAGCAATAGTACAATAAATTGATAGAGAATTGAAGTTGAACTCTCCTGGTTCTTGGTAAAAAACACACAATGCCCCAACTCTCAACAAGAGTGATCTCCTTATATAGCAAGCAATATGCATAAACAAAGTATGTGATTTATAATAAGTCAACCTTGCTGAAAGAGTAATCTATCTAACAAAGAGTTGTTGACCTGGTTTACAAGCAATTCTATTTACTAGTTGACAAACCGCAAAGGACATCAGTTAAGCAAAAGTTGTTAGTCTCATAGGTTCACGGATAATTTACAATTAGTAGCGACACAGCAATGAGGTCAACTAAATCAGGAGCTAATATCGTGTAAGCAACATATGAAAGATTTATAGTCTAAACATGAGATTTGAAATAGAGTTAAAGGTATAAACATTACCTGCAAAATTTCATCTCACATATTTCTTACTCATATTTTCAACTCTCATATAGTAATTTAGAGTTTCGAAATATAAAATTCCCTATAACACCATAAACTGTGTGGTTTAATATAATTTAATACTAAATAATATCCTTACAACGTCGAGCAATAAAGTTTGTTTTTGATTATTCGTTGGTGTCACCAATCAACTATAACGATTTCATCATTAATGAAGAAAAATTCTGACAATGTGCTGTATGTGCGTAATAAAACATTTTTCTACTACTTTAGTTCATTTACGGAAACAGAAGTTGTTGGTTGTATGTATGAACTAAAAAATAGATTCTGATGTCTGCTGTGGTAATTAAAATTGGAATGGAATCCAGTCACAGAAAGAAAAAATCAATTTTTCTGGGTAAAATTAGTCTCTGTTTCAGAAAAGGACAAAATAGTCCTAGTATTTCTTTTAGTAACTTTCACCATACAAGCATTTATTGACCGAAAAATGCTCTTTATGTTGGAAGAATGTATGAAAACATTTATAAATAAAAAAGAACTATAATTTTGTGGACTATTGATTCTTTTGATATTATATATACATATATAAATTATAATTTCGTTTTGAGAAACTCTTTCGTTTCTTGAAAAAAAAAAAATTTAAATTAGTCGTTTTTTTTTTTTCACAGTCGAATTCTCATCGCTTATTCTACCTTTGAATCTTAAGTTCATATAAGTTCTTTTGTTAAATTTACACTATGAGGTTTTTTAAATTATCAAACCTTTGTATATTTCTTCTCTTAAATTTGCTGTCAAGTTAAAAATTTTCCGAACTCTTGACAAACAATGAAAAGTATGTCGTTTATTTCAATATTAACTTTGGTAATGATTATTTTCTTCTCTTCAAGCAATAAATTTGCATTCACCAGACAAACTTCAGTCTTGCCAATAATATTGGGACAAGAATGCATTGAGGGTAAATCCATTAATCAAAGTAATCTGACTTGGAGTCACATCGGAATAAAGTAAATTATTATAATATTGGAGCTCATACAAGGCTAAAAAAAATAGTTTGTTCTTTTTTTCTTAAATATTATGCTAGCAATTTTGAAAAAAAAAAAATGAACAGATAGAATAAAACACATGGTTCAGTGCTTTTTATCAATAATTTGACGGATTATGTCACTTTAGATGGAAATTAACAATAGCTTGTTTAGTTCAGTTTAGAAATTCTTCTTTCAGAAATCTATCAAGTATGTTGAAATTATCTATTACAATTTTAGAAAATATATCATACGTGTGATTCAACGGTGAAAAAGTATTATGAAATATCTATTTTATTCTTCAACTTTCATAATACCATTTTATTTAAAACTAATTATTTTTCAATTGAATTATAAGTTGACAATTAATAAAAATTAAAATAGCAAATATCATTACAGAAAATTACAGAAACAATTCGTGAAAAAGGCTAGCCTATTGTTGGGTTATCCATGGATTTCCTCTACCTCTATAATATCGTCCATCGCCTGATAAAGGTGTGAAAGAGTTTGATAATCCTGAAGGAATGATGACAGAACTCGGTTTCATTGCTGAAGACCTGTAGTAGTTATGCAAATATTGCTGATATGGATGATAGATACCTGTATTACCGCCACCGTACCCACCGAATATACCATCACTACTCCCACCATATCCCCATGACGAATACGGAGAATAGAGACCAGCTGAAAATATTTGAAATTACAGATTAATTAATATGATTAAAAAGTAGGAGTGATTTATTTGTGTAAAATAATTGGGTTTGTTTAATTAAAAAGTAAAATGTCACTACTACCTCCACCATAAGCAACTCTAGGATAGGTAATCCATGGATTACCATAACCAATGTAGGGCATGTTACCGGTGAGAGCTTTTAAGCCAAAAATACCACCTAGTGCTTGGGTACTTCCGATGAAAAATGCAATACATAAGATGATTTGAATACCTGAAAAAGAAAAAAAAAACACTCCTAGATTTCAGCAGTTTAAAAAGTTTTCAAAATATAACTTAAAAAATTTTATTTATATAAAATATACTCAATGAAAACGATTTATTCGATTTCTGAAATTAAATAATCAATTGTAGAACCAATATATTTTGCAAAAACTAATCAATAGTCATTTGCATGCATTATGTATTAGTAATATTATGCCAATTATGCTTGAATTGGCCATTTTAATTAAAATGCTTGCATAAATTTGAAATATTCTAAAATGCAACTGATATATTACGCAAGACTAAAATTCGATTAGTTTTATAAACAGATTTTTAAATAGATAAAATTCTTTTTTTGAAATGTGCCAAGTTTATTAATTAAATATTCAATGTACCAAATTTATAAATAATATCAAATAAAAAATGAAGCAAAAATAACCCAATTTGTTCGAACAATAAGGAAACATATTAAAGAAGCAGAACTATTGTATGAGAAGCGTCACTACAAACGATACCACTCATGCAGTGCTATTCATTTTTATACGTTGACATGAAATTTGAATGTTTCTTTAACCTTTTTTTTTCCCTTTACTCTTCAAATTATTCTCTCATTTCCACCACTTCTTTATTATGCTTCATTTCAATCAAAAAATCAGGTTTCTTTACATCTTAACCTATTTCTTCATTATTTCTATTGACCTTCATTTCTATCAAGTCAGATACTCTTCTTCTTTCTATGCGATAATTCCACTTATTTCTTCGCCTTTATTTGCTTCTCTTACAAAATAGGAAAAGAAAAGAAAGCATTGTTTGCATAATTAAAAAAAAAAAAACGCTTTAGGCGGTGCAGCAGAAAAAAAGAAATAAAATAAAATGCAGAAAAGAAAAACAATTATTTAAACTAATGAGATGTTATCTTTCAGTTTTTTCCTCTTTCTGATAATTCCTGCGTACAGCAGAAAAAATGGAAGGAAAAAGGTGGATAAAAACTAAAAAAAATCAATTATTCCAATTAAATTTAATGAGTTCGGATCATTTAACTTATAATGTCCGATTCTTTTTTTGATTTTCTTTTTAAAAGTAAAGTAAGATTAAGCACTTTAATAGTCATATCTTTATGCAAAACAAAATGAGAAAAAAGGAAACGTTTATTCCTAGATATAAGAAAAGGGTGAAACAGTCGATAAATAAAATATTATTGTCAATTCGACGACCTTTAATTTTTGCAGTAATAATTGGAGAACTTTGATATAATTGTTAGTATCACATTTGCAGGGAAATATTTATATTCAATTAACAATTATTTTGCATAATTATTATTGTATGACAAAAATTCTTCTTACTATGCAGTAATAATTCTTTGAATTCACATACTGACATTTGATAATTAATAGTTTATTGGGCAAACAAATTTGTGTCACAGGGAATCAATGCAGTATTGAGAAATTGGCCTCAGATTTCGAAAACAATAAATACCAATTAAAAGATGAAGATGTCATTTTTGGTCTTTTTATTTGTTTTCAGGTTTTTGCTATTTTTTTGTAAACAGCATTTTCTCTTTTTGAAATTTAACCATGAAAACTTACAACAGAAAAGGAAATAGAGAGGTAGAACTGATTGTAGGGAATTTTAGGATTGTTTTTTGAAAACCTTCAACTTAATTGAAAAGACAATGTAGTCAAGTTCTGAAATCAACAATAAAGTAGATTTATTTATCACTTAAATATTTGCAAAGTCTTCTGCTTATTTTTGATTAGTTTAAATTAATTAAACTAAAGTTCCCGTAAAAAAAGGATAAAAAAAATCAGATGGCAATGCAATATTAATAGTTGGAATTTTTGCAAATAATTGAATTGGTGTAGCAGTTTGATCAACAAAATAAACTACAAAATTAAAATATATATAATGATAGGGGTATGTTGTTAAATCGACAATATCCGGCTTACTTAATTCAATTTTATATGAGATTAAACGATGCGAATAAGATTTAACACTCCCAAAACGTATATAAGCAAACTGAATTGATGCAGCTGTTATTAATTCACAACTTTCATCCATTTCTTTCTGCAACTGAAATAAGTTATTACGGGAAAAAATTAGGAAAATATGAAATTAATAATTAATCGATTATTCATTATTTGTCATCAGTTAAATTAACTACATCACATAATATGATTAGCAAGTTTAAAGCAATTAAGAATTACAGTTTTTTATTCATTTTCATTTCTGTTCATTCAGTTTTCCTCAAATTGTTACAAACTTATGTTTAGAAATAATTTCCTTCTTTTTTCTTTTTTTTCTTTTGATTAAATAAATGAATTAAATATTAAAATGAAAATTATGAACCATTTTCGAAGAAGATAACCTATCATTTTGCATTGCAACTGTATCATTTGTGCCATACGGGAAGCTATAAACAGTTATTGCTTTCCATTCATCGAGTAAATATTGAATTTGAGCTAATATCTGGGTACACGTTGTAATTCTGCAAAATGTTTACTTTGCATTAATATAAATTTTATATTTGACTTGTATTTATCAACAGTAATCCGATAATGTACGCATAAAATTAATTCTGGTCTAAAACTTGAAGCAATTAATTAAATTTGGAATAATCAAAATTTACCGCTCATTTCTAAAAATGATACAATTTAGTTACTGAGAGTACTACAATCTACGAATGGTGATAATAATAAGTCAGTTAATGCTTATTATCATGAAAATTTTTAGAGCAAACCTAAGGCGACATGCCGTATTAATTTGAATACCAAATCGTATATTTACTTGCTGTTTCCGCATATTACATTCCATTCCGGATGGAATTAAAAATGTTTTATTATTGCTACTTTCAAGTCGAATAATTTGTCCCATATCATATCCCAATGATTGTACTAGTCTTACAGCATTTGAAGTGGATGAAATTTCGATGAAAACCGCATCAAATTGATAAAACTGTTGAGAATAACTTTGTTTGGTTATATTAGTATAATGAACACTTGCTGATATATCCTCCAACAATCCATCATGAGTGATAAATTTAATCAATACCTTAATTTATACATTATTTTACTGGTATCAAAACTAATTAAATTATGATAGCATACAAAGTAAGAGGAATATTTGATCTCATTATAATGTTTGTTAATAAAAATGTATGTTTATAAAATTAGTTATACCTAATTCAAATTAGAACTATCTATCATATAATTCTGTTGTCTAAATATTAGTATCTAACATTAAGAAGAATGTTTAAAGATAGATCACCATTGAAACGGCATTAATACATGCTGTACCATTCCAGTATAACCAACGAACCAGATGACTCTTTTCCGGAATACTTTCTATTGATACTACTGTTCTATTTCCATCTTTCTAAAAGGTTTTTTTAATCAAAAATTTATTTTTCATATACTAAAATCATTCGCTTAAAATAATGCTTAAACAAACAATTATTATATACTTCTCACTTACGGAATAGTAAATTGCGAACTTAAAAAATTTATACATGAAATTATTTGAAATGAAAATGAAGTGCCATTACTACAGGAACACTGGTTTTATGTTCTGGGAAAGATGTTTATCATCCATTGTTATTATCAGCAAATGTTTGCATGACCTTAAGTTACATTAAATTTTCACTTTTCAAAAACGTATTATTATTCCCTTTAATATCAATCAGTTCATCTATATGAAAATACTGAAATGAAAATATGAAAATTTAATTTATTAATTACGTACTTTTGTAGAATATTTCCGCAAATAATAGCTAACGTTGAGATATTTTAAACTAATGCAATGCTTTTCATCAAACATATTCCATTGAGGTAAACAAGTTATGCTGATATTCTTGAATAAAGCTAAAATTATTGAGAAACATTTTTAGAAACCATTTTTTGCCAAACTTTCCAGATTCTTTCTTTTTTTTTTTTTTTTTAAGAAAAAAAAAACCATTCGAAAACAATAACTTTAAACTAGAAATAAACAAACCGTTTTTTTCAGTTCAACTAGTTTTTGCATTAACGTTTATATAGGAAAACCTATTAAATGGAACTAGAAAAATAGATAAATGAAAAAATAATTTAAACCAACAAAGCGGTGCAGTTCCAGTACATTGATCTGAAAATACCGTTGCCGGATACTCAAATGGTGTTACCTTTTCTTCATCCCATAACTCAACTATTTCTTCCTAAAATTTCCAATACTTATAATCAACAACAGTTATTCAGTTAGCATCGGTCCAGTTAAATAACCAGAAATCTTAATTACCTTTGCAGAGGAAATAAGGTATGTGTTAATATTGACAAATATGTTTCACTCCCGAAAAAAACAAAAACAAATTTTTTTCTTCCTTTTTAATAACCTATCAAAATGGTTTTAAACATTAACGACATTTCAATTAAATAATATTAAATACTTTATAATAGTATTACTAACTAAAATCAAAAATACAGGTCGGAAATCTATCTATTATACATAAATAATTCCAATTGCAGTGAAATTTTACCTTTGGAGAGGAGATAATAGTATGTGCTGACGGTAAATACTTTCGAAAATGATTTACTCGTCGGAATAGTGTTGCTTTTGTAGAGCCAATATTTTCTGAAAAACTTTTCTTATTTGATATCTTTCTTTCCTCTTTTTTCTCCGCCAATCGTTTTCCTTTTTTATTTACCTAACATTTGGTTAATTTTACAATATGTCAAGCTATGAAAATTTAAGAGAAAAAGAATGACTGATTAGCAGAATGACAGTGATCATATAATACTAGGTCTTTCACATCTTGCTACGACATATGCTGTATTAATTTTCAATGTGTTGTTGCTATTACTAATTTTTATTAATCTTCATGTATCAATATGTATTCAGGTCTTCTTGATCCAACTATTACTCTTTCTTATTTTAATTAATTGACTAATTAATTAAGTTACTAACCATTTTGATGTATGATGCAAAACAGTTTATTGGACGGCTTCAGAGGTTTAATCGAATGTAAAAATACTGATTTTATGCAAATATTAGCAAAAATACAAGAAAGGTTGGCAGTGAAAAGGATAAAAAGGACGGTAGCTCTTGACATTACTGCTTATGTTGCCATAGACAACGGAATCGATGACGCCGTTTGCTTAGCAGATATTGCAGTAATGGGTCTTACTTGGCATTTATATTCGTCACTTATTTCAATTAAAAAAATAAAATAAACTTTAATGTAATGCAATAAATACGGTTATTAGATGAAAAAAACAATGAAAATGAATTTAACGGGAAATTATTTGTTATCAATCAAATGGAATTAATCAGCCAGTGATAATTTCTGACTGCATTAATCTTTTTGTTTTAAATTCACTCACTTCACTGTAATAGAATAATTGTTCTAGAAATATTCATTGTAATAAAATAATTGTTTTAGGAATTTTTCATTTTGCGTTTTTTCTATTTCATACAGGCGTGACGCACAGGTGTGAGATGGAAAAAAGCAAAATTAAACATTTGAATAATCAATAATTGATTGATTCAGTTCGTTACTTTCTTTCTTCCAAAATTCATAAATTGTCGCAATCTTTCACTCGAAATTAAACAGCGATCACTTAGAATTACTAATAATTAAGTTTAAGTCGTAATTCAGAAATCTATGAACTTTCTAAATTTATGCAAAGTGAACACTTTGAAAGAAAAGTCGTTAACACTGCTATTACTTCTTTTTCCAAAATGCAGAAATTTTGGAGATATTTTATCAATTTTGACACAGAAAATTTTGCAACAATTTCTTCAACTTTGCCAAAAATTTGACTAGATTGAACGAATTTTCAGAGGGCGATAATGCAATTGTTCTATTTCAAGTTAAATTGTGTCTCTTTATTAATTCGACTTCAGTTAATGTTATATCTCAATTTTCTTTTCCAGGCTAGAAAAGTAAGAAAAGGTAGCTGCGATCAATGCAGTGAGCTTTATTATGAAATATTGTAAAATATGAATTTTAATTGTTATTTTCATTGATTGATTTAAATAACAGCCAGTGAATGTGATTCTTCAGTAAGTGTATATAAGGAACCAAGCGATCGGTTGCTTCCGTCTACCAGTTCCACTCCACTACATTGGTATTTACATTTATTTGGCCTTTTTGCTTTTTTTTTTTCCGTTTTTTAAAAATAATTCATGAATTAACTTAAGAATTATATTGAATACCAGAATTTCATGCTGAAATTTTTTTTTCTTACAAAAAATAAGTTTGAAAAAATTTGCATTGAAAAGTCAACTTTCTATAACTTGAAAAGAATTTCTAATGGATAAGGATGAGCACAATATGTAACAAACGAAAGCACTTCACGTATCACGTGCAAAGTTGTTAATGATAAAAAGATCACAGCTCAACTTTTATTCTTGACTTTTTGTGCAACAATTTGTGTAAAAGTCCAATGCTTCTTATTGTCTCTTTTACATACTTTGATTTATATTTTTAGTAATTGTCATAATTCGCATTATTATGCATTTTTTCTAATCGTTAGCAGCAATTTATCACTAGCTAAAATTAATTTCCCTCTAAGTTCCATTTTTCCATTTATTCTTTGGCTTTTTATCATGAAGATCATCGTAAAAGCTCATCCCTAAACAAGACATTCTCCGCAACAATAATTCCTTTCGGCAATTGATGCAAAAAACTGCAATCAGAGCATCAGCATGAAAAGATTAGAAAAGCTAAAGAAGGTTAAAATTATAGAATATGCGGGAAATGGCAAGATCAGCTTTATTTAAATAAGCAGTAACATACATTGAAAATTATTCATAATTAACAAAATGTTCGCATTCGAAATAACCAAAAATCTAGTTTGGATAGATTTAATTGTTTCGATATTGCAGTAAGCAGTTTGACCTTGGATTTTTTATAATGAAATGAAGAATTAGATCGATGTAGGATAGATCGAATTTGTAATTGGTGAAAGATAAAAAAACACTATGATGGATGCTGCTGCAAAACAGCCTAAATTAGTATCAGAGGATGCAAAGAAAGTATTGCCAAAAGAAAGTATTGAGAAAAAGGAAGTGGAAGAAAACAGACTGAATCGAGAAAATCGAATTCTGAGTCAGATGGAGCGCAGAATTGCCACTTATCAGGTTGCTGTCAAATACCATTCATAAAATATCAAATAAGAGGAATCCGATAAGTTAGTACAAATTGCGGAAAAGAATAGATATTAAGTGATAAGATAGCCTTAGTGAATTGATTAATTCATGCAGGCTAATATATATTAAAATAAATATAAATGAAATATTCATCTTCCAGCTAAGTTGTACCAAATTTGGTAAAGACACTCAAAAAAGATATCAAAATCAAACAATGTCAAAGTCACAACTGAAATCGTTAAATCTCGAAGAAGTATGTCCATTTACATTATGAATGCCTGATAAGGTTATTAGTAAGACTGATTACAAACACCGTTTACTGCAGGTTGAAGAGGAGAAGCATGCACTTGCTAAACATTTGCGCTCCATTGCTCCATTCAATCACCGTTGGCAGGTTTAACGTTTTTAATCATTACTCAAGTCGACTTCTTAATTTGATAATAGTTTACAAAATTTTTTACGGAATTTGAATCATACTTTCTTTAGGTGACTGAAACAATCAATGAAGGAACATATGGTGTAGTATTTGCAGTGCGTGATGTAGAAACCGGTACAAGAGGTGTCATAAAAGTTGCTAAATCAGTAGGTAATGATGCAGGTAATCAAGCAGCAGAATGGGAAGGTTTCGTACTGGAAAAAATTTATAAAAATGTACTTTTTCTGATATATGAACGAATATCAGCTTACCAAATTTTACATCTACGCTCGTAACTCATAAAAGTTCAAACTTCGAGATTTGACTTCTGTCTTAAACACTGTCTTAAACATAAAGTCATTTTGTGAATGTACGGAACAGACTCTTGTTCAATAGATAAACGGTAATTAATGCTAAAAGATAGATTATCGATTCATTCTCACATTTTCTTTTGTTTTTTTTTTTCAGTTAAAAAGATTACAAAGGAAAAAATCACAGGAAAAACCAATTAAATCTAAAGTAATTTGTTTAGTCCAAAGTAACTTTTTAATAAGGCTTCCATCTTTATTGAACATTATATGAATAGAATCCAAATGCAAGCATCGTGCGATTATTAGATAAAGGTATGCTTGCTGATCAAAATGGTGCAGGGATGGAATTTATGGTACTTGAAAAAGCAGAAGTTGGAATTGTGGAATGGCTCAACAATGTAAATAAATTATTCTTTTTCTCTATTCTTTTTTTTTCTTATTTTCACTTGCAGTTATCATTTAAACGTAAATTCGGATGTTATTTCATAAGTAAAACAAGAATTAGAAATGAAGAGAAGAATGAATAAATAAATGAATTTAATTTAAAGCCCAATCATTCATTACAAAACATTTTGCTAATTACGGTAAAATAAAATATATAGTGATAGTAATAGTTACCAGTACTTTCTTCTTGTTTCTTTTCTTGACTAGTCTACCCTTCAATTTTAAATAACTTGAAACTAATCAAATGGCTATTTATTTGTTGATGAAATGAAGTCAACAAAAATAAAACAAATGTTTTGGGAATTATAATTAATTAGCAAAGAATTTATTGTTTCCTTCATAAATTTTTCAGAAAAAAAAAATGATAAAAGAATTTTACAGTACAGTGGTTTAAAACGGAAACTTGCAGTTACTCAAGCTATGCTACAAATGTTAAAAGGTTATGTATAATTTGGCGGAGTTAATTTAAATTTAATTTAAAATTAATTACAAAATTTCTGAATTCAAATTCTTGAAGTTTAGGTGAGATTTCAAAATGAATTATTTTGAGCAAAAACTTATCTTGGCCTCCATACTTTCCTAACAACGAAAGCATATAATGTTTAATATCTATCACATCTAAGAGAAAATAAATATTGTTTATGAAAACACTTCAAACTTATAATTTTTACTTAAAAATTAAAAAAAAAAAAACTATCACATCAAAAATGTTAGAGTATCAATAAATTTTTGAAATGCAAATTACACATCTACTGCTTCCTCTCATGCAGGAATTCATGATATGCACCGAGAAGGTTTATTGCATCGTGATCTGAAACCGGATAACATGGGTATATTAAGTAGTGAACAACCTTTTGTAGTACTGTTTGATTTGGGCATGACAAAAATGTACACTGATGAAAATGGAGAAGTAAGATTTATGCTAATAATTAAATGATTGCTCTGTAAGAAAATTATTAACTTTATGATGGAACAAAATCGCTGCAATCATTTTATTACGGTGATATTCTGAAATACAAAAGATAATGACATTACAATGAAAAAATATCGTAGTCATATTTCTAAACTGTAAACAGTCTAGAAAGTTGGTATGGTACCGATATGATGTAAAACTATAATATAATAGTAGCTATAATCTAAAATTAAAATATTTGTGTAGTTTAGTGTCGGACACCACGATCAATATGTCCGTTTCGTGGTACCCCGGAATGGTGCAGTGGGTGGGCATCAAAAGGTCGTGAGCAGAATCGTTTCGATGACTTAATCGCATGGTTATATGTAGCATGTGAACTTTACGACCCAACTGCTAGCGTTACACAGCCATTGCCTTGGACATATCGTCAAAGCGAACGGGTAACTTTCTCATATTCGAAAATAAGTTATTCAAATTAAATGACTTCAAAAGTATTCATTTTGCTGTAAACTATGAAAAAAAGTCATTTTGATCATATTTTTAGATTGTAAACTACTTAAAAACAATTTATTGTCCGGCACAAATTTTGCTACGGCGAGCACCGCGGCAATTCTACGAAATTAATACATATTTAATGACAGCAAATCGAAATACAACACCGAAATACAAATTCCTTGCTGATAAAATGATGGAAGCAATTAATGAGTTGCAAGCTTTGGTCGATCAAGAAAAAGTAATTGAGGAATATTTTCAGTTCAATTAGTTATTTTTAATTGTCCTAAAAAAGAGTGTATTTGAAAATAAAACAATTCAAATATTCTTCATTTCAGAATGAAAAAGGTAGTGGAAAAAAACATGGAAAGAAAGAAGCTTCAATTAAAACAGATAAAACACCAGCAGATAAAACAACTGAAAATGCTGAAAAAGTTCAAATGAAGAAACAAACAAAAGAAAAAGGAAAAAAATAAATTAAAAGGATAGAAATGAAAATAGAAAAGTAATTAAGAATATTTCGCAGATTAAAATATTTGCTCAGTAGCATTAATTTTCTTTACTTTTTATTATAAGCATTGCTTAATATGCCAATAATAACCGAAAAGGATGCTGAAGAATAAAAAAAAGAACCACATTTTTTTCATTTCTTTCATTCTAAAGTATTCGTTTGCATATTTTCATACTCATACAATAACTACCCTATTCCGTTTTACAGTACCCATTCATCCTTATTTGCTAACATCGTTAATTAGAGCTTCAAATTTCAGTATGATTACTTGTAGAAATAGCACATTCTTTCGATCAAATGACATTAAGTTTGCCTCAAAAAAAGAAAATGCACAATTTTTCAACAACAAAAAAGCACCAAAAAAGAAATTTCAAGTTCAGTTCTATAAAAAAATGCTTATAAAATCAAAATATTACGACAGTGACAAAAGTGATAACGAATCAGACGCTGATAAAAAATATTCTCATCAAGCTTACTAGAAGATTTTCTCAGTACTTCATTTCAATTTCAGCGTTTCTGTTATTGAGATGGTCCAAAAAGTTTTTTCTTTCTTTTTTTTTTTTCGTTTTCTAGGAAAACTCGAAATTCGCATAAAATTCAACAATTCGGATTTTAAATATGATAGTGAAAGACAAATTTCTTGTCAATTTAATTTAAGCTTTCGAGATTCCCATTCATTTTTATTTGGGATTAATACGTAAGGAAGTCTTTTAAATGATCGAGCAATATCTACTACAAAATGTTAAGTAGCAAGAAGTAATTGATTAGAAAAAATTGCAAAAGTGGACATTTTTAAGTGCAAAATGTGTGCATTCTTTCGTTGTATTTGCAAATAGAAAAGACTTGGAAATTTTTTATGAATTTATTTTAAAAATATTAGTGAATCATGACCTGATCTTATGGTCACAACACGATGGGCTGCAGATTACCTTTATGCAAAGAATTTTCGTTGATTTGAAAGTTATACAATATGCACCACCACTACTTGCACACTCTGTGGCTGTTCGTTTATTGAAAGTCGTGACTGTCATCTAAGTCAGTGCTTGCCGTTTCCAATGTTTCCCTAAAAGGTTCGAATGTACTTCAAATGGAAATCAGAAACTGAAGTGTAGAATGAAGATTTATGGTTGTGACAAAACTGGAATGCATCAATTTTCACAACTTCACTTTCTGCGCGACATTTTTAACTACATTTGAGTTCCTATTTTTTTACATAGTTCGGTGCCTGAGATAGAATCAAACGTTAAATTCGTTCTTAAATTGTCATTATAAAATTCAAACTTAAAATTAGCGAACTAAAATTTGAATTTCTGTTTAGAAATTAACATAAAAGTTAAAATATAAGAGAAAATCAGAATTGATATTTCCTAATTAAATTAATGGGCGAAATTTCTATAATTTCCTTTTTTATCCTTTTTGATCCTTTATCAAATTTCATCTTTTAAATTTTCACTATTTAATTTATACAATCTCAGAAAGTAAGCAATAAGCAATATCAAAGAAGAAAAAAAAAAGACATTCCAGAAAATCTTTCTACTCATTTAATAAAGTACAGTATTTCAGAATAAACGATTTAGTCACATAACTTCCCGTATTTTTCATCCATAAATTCACTTCTCCTCACATTTCGAAATGTCATACTTCTTCTTCCACCATTAAATGCTTCATCTGTCTTTTTTTTGATAATGTAAGAAATGTCAAAAACCTGTTTTACTCATAACAAGGAAAACAAATTATTGTCACCATGTCACATTGAAGCAATCTGAGGAGGAATGAAGGCAATTACTTCTTCCTGCTATCCATAAATTTGTTTCAAATATTCCACTTTTTTTTTTCACTTTTATCAGATTTATTTTTTTTTTTGCCGTTTCAAATCGTTACATTTATTTCATTTCCTTTTTTTATATTCCAAATAGGTTTATAATATTTTTTATTATTAATTTAAATGTAAAAGGATAGTGCAAAATATGAAATGCTAGCTTTTTTCAACGGCAAAATTATAATTATCATTTCGCTGACAAGAATATTTTAGTGATTGTTTTAGCCATTCTGATTATCATGAGGATAAATCCATTACGATTGTTATCATTCATCAGTTTACTTATCACAGCAAAAACACAACGATCAATTATTATAACACATTGGCTTGGTAAAGGTACAAGAAATGTTAAACATGAAACTATTGCCAATAATATTCTCGATAGTGATGGTAATTTTAGTATTATTTTTATTATTAATACAAAGTTAATCAAAATAAATGTGCGGTTTTATTTGTGATAATATTTTATTTTCAAAAATTCTTAATAAAAGTCATTTTAAGGAAATAAAAGAGACCATACAATAAAATATAACAAACACTTTGGTTTTAAGAATAATTTCAGGAAATATTATTCCACGAACATCAAATGGAAGGAAAGATGTGAACGACAGAATGATTTATGATTGTACTGATATTATGGGAAAAATACGACAAAACGGTGAAGAGTATGAACGACCAAATGGTCGATTTAAATATAAGTGTAATAATGGCATTGAAATTATTACAGGTTAATTTTACTGTTAAAAAATTTAGCATAATGTTTGTTTTTTTATTGTAAGATAAATCAATAAAACGAAAGTTTTGAAAAGATGCAAAAAGAAAGAAATATTTAGACAGCTATATTGCGTGTTTTAAGTTGAAATTACAAATTTCAGTAGAGTTATTTCAAATAATAAAATAAATGAGCACTAAATACGCTAATAATATTCTTAGTTAAAATAATTTTATAGTCTCTGATTCTATTTCAAAAAAGAAAAAACAGTCAGTTGACGTTTTTTTAAAAATGATAAAAATATATCTCATAGCAATAATGGAAGTGTAAAAAAAATTTAATGCAAATAGCACCGATCGGGATTAACATACTTTAGAAAGAAAATCATTAATTATACGAGCAATAAGAAATTCATTTGAAAGGACGGTCAAGATTTGTTTAAAAACTAGAAAATTATCATAACTTCATTCTACTATCAATGAAATGTTTTGTGCAGTTCAAATAGCATTAATTAGAAATAGCACATCTACTCATAATTTATGATAATAATCAAAGAATCAAATTGTTTCCTAATCTTTATGTCACTGAAATTGCTTAACCTTTGAGTTTAACATTTAATCAAACATTTTCCACTGAAAACAATAGTAATATTTATTTTGTCTTTTTTACAGCTTGTATCGGTTCTGAACGAACTTCTAAAGCAGTAATAAAAATTGGTGAAACATTGACTAAGGATGGATTTTGGCATAAATGTATTCACCATGCAAATAATGAAACAGCAATTTATACAGAAGGAATCATTTTTAAATAATTAATTTCTAATGAATACTTAATTTTACTATTTAATTTAATTTTTAATCAACCTTTAATCTTGCTATTTGATTTATTTTGTCATTATATTCTTTGTTTTTGTTTTTTTTTTATTGCCACACAAATATCATTTACCTTGATAATGTTCCAACATATTTCTTTAAAATTTATTACGATTCATTTGGAAAAATTAATTAATTATCATTCATTTTTGAAGTCATTAAATTAATTAGTACTTGTTAATAACAGATATATTATTATTATTATTATTATTATTACTATTATTATTACAGAAGCAGCATGTAACGTAAATGATAAATTATATCACATTGATGACGAAATTCGATCCCAATTTTTGTTGATGAAATGCACCGAAAATGGTTACAAAATAATTGGTGAAAACTAAAAGTTTAATTTAATTTTAATTTAATGTATTTTAAATGAAATACTCATTTAATTAATAGGACATACTATTGCACGCTTAGAAATATAAATCTTTAAAGTAAGAAAAAAATTTTTTGGAAAAATCTTTGAAAACATTTTTTGGTAATACATATGCAAATACATAATATATTCAGGTTGTTATTATACTGATAAAAACAAGAAGATAGTAGACATGAAACTAGATTCAGTATCTGAAACGAATGATACGATACATCATTGTGAGAACAATAACAATAACATACAGTACTATACAACAGGTACTGAATCTTTCATTGACTTAATTTAAAAGTTAAAAACTTGTAAAATAAATAAGCTCTTTCTTTTGTTGTTAATTATTCTAGATTTTTTGATTAAATTTATAAAGTAATTTTAAATTTTCTAATGTTTGTAGCAATTGGTTGTGTGAAATATGGCAAAAAGCATAAGGAAGGCGAAAAATTTGCAAGAAATCATTTACGTTATGAATGTAAAAATGGAATGGTTGATATTATTGGTAAAATTTTGTGACTTTTAGTTTACAAAAAAAAAAAAAAACTTTGAATAAAATCTTTGTAAAATTAAATTAAATTGATGAAATTATTCCATGTTTAGGAAAAAGCTTTCGATTTCGTAATTAATACAGAGTTTATATTTGCATTTAAAAATTTTACTTGGAATTTTTACTGTAAATTTAGGTTGTTATATGGATGAAATAGGACAGAATATTGAAATTGGCGATATTATTGTTGAAAAACATATGCTATATAAATGCTCTTTGTAGGTTTTATTGGGAATGTTTGGATTTTGAATAAAATTTAATACGGGAGAAGAAAAGATGGATGACAGTTTTTAACAATCAATTTACAGTAATAAGTAATGAGAAAATTAATTTCACTAAATTATTTGGTAATATTAACATGATAGACTAATATCAGATAGCAATGATATCATTGTCAATGAATATTCAAAGTATCATATATTCAGCGGAAATTTTCGAATAACGGTAATTAATTGGAGTTTCACAGAATTTTATTTATAGTGAAAGTGGTGAAGTAAAATATGAACAATATCCTTGTGGATTGAATGGTACACCATCGTGTGAAATTTCACAAAGACAACAAGGACCAATTAAAAAGCCAACAATATCTAAACTTAGTCCAAGCTTTGGAGCACTTAGTATTGCGCAGGTAAAGACTTTAATTTAATATTCATTCTTATAAACATACTACGCTATTTCATCACTAAAAAAAATAGCGGAAACATTTCTGAAATTTGCCATTTCATTATCCATTGTTTTGAGCTTTGCGCATGTCCAACTGTTAGCTTAGTAGGAGTATGATAACGATATTATAAAATTAATTCGTTTAAATTAGTGAAGCATATGATTATTAAATGATGACAACATTGTTTACTGTTGTGATAATATTTCAATTAATTATAATTTGCTTTTTAGTGGTAAGAAAAAAATATTAAATAGATAAATTAAAGTTCAAAATTTACATACCAGTTAATGGAGCTTTTAATAATTTTCCATTGCAGATTCTCTTTTTTTTCCTTCTGTGAAATTTTACTCATGTTATGAAAAATAATTTGTATCAATTAATTTTGTTTTTCTTAAATTAATTTTCAGTATATTAATCGAGGCAATGATAAGATTATAACCAATTCAAACGGAATGAAATTGGAATTTATGCAATTGAATAAATTACCTTCCCGCATCATTTAGCTAATCCTTAGTGCAACTATATCTTATAAAATCTTCTGTTTGTGATATCATTTCAAATTACAAGCACTTAAAAAACATTTGGAATAATTTTATTCATAAAAAATAAAGCACTTTTACAATATTAATCAAACAACAACAATCATCTACGATATTACTGCTAATAAATCTTTTATGCAATGCAAACAAATAATTTACTATGCACCTAACAATAAGCAAACAATTAGAACTACCTTTTTTAATGGAAATTTTATGGCTCCAGCAAGCGCTGGTCCTTTTCATGATAAAACCAAAAGAAACTTGTACGGGTATGCAACCATTATTTATAGGATTAAATCTTAATCTACATACAAAACTACAGGAACCTTTCAAATTAACGCATTCCTAATTTTCTGAAAAGAATTATGTCAGTGTTATCATTAAATGATAATAATTATATCAATGGTAATTACTATCTATTGTTGACAACACTTGAATAACAACATTTTTATGTTTTTCGTAAAATGATTAATTTAAAAATTCAATTAAAAGGGGAGAAATTAAATTGGGAAACTTACCACCGTATGTTTGTACCCAATTAATATACAAGCATTCATTAATATCCATACATTTATTGCATCAATCTGTAAACAAAAAGTTAAAAGAATTAATTTTACAAACAGCTATATAATTGAAGTCAATGTAAAATAGTGCGAAATTTAAATAATGGTGTAAACAAATAAGCAAATTAAAATTCCATCATTGTATTTTCCATAAACAAAAAAGGGAGTTTTATTCATTTACCAAAATATATATCCCGGTCCGGCACAAGCACATGAGACATTCCATAAATTCCAATTTTCATTATAACTTGATTTCAATCCATAAGCATCATTTCTAGGCATGGTATATATATTTTATCAATATTTAATCATTTCAATAAAAAAATTAACTTGTACAAAAATATAACAATAATTAAATGAGACAAAACAATAAGCAGAAATTGGGTAAAATAAAGTTTTACCTTGATTTTGCGCATCGAAAGCGTTCCATTTCAAAAGATCTTAATGTTATATAATTGAATATTAAATTTCTGGCTAATGCTTGACTAGGCCACTATAGTTATAAATTTTGCTTAACTTGTAAAAAAACGAAATACTCTGCTTTGCAATAAAAATGATTTAAATAATTTTCTAAAATAATTTAAATAAAACTAAGAGAATTAAAATTGCAATAAACTAAAATAAAACTTTTTTTTTTTGCAATGTATTCTTTCTTTATTTTTAGTAATTTCTTCCTATAAGAAAAATTGTTTCAGTTTAGAAAAACATAAAAATTTTAGCAAACAAATTTATGGTATCAAATATATAAATTTATTTCAAAATAAGGATCGACATAATAGATGATAATGTTACATTTCAGATTCTTCTATCATTTTAATTTTATTAGTGCCATAAATTATTAGCTTAAATATTACAAAAGCTGTAAACGGGAAATTTAAATTAAAAAAATTCATAATTACAATTTGAAAACAAGGGTGAATGATTAGAAATCAGATAATAAATTCAAGTAATTTAACCATTTTCTTATTTTTCCTTTAATGATAATTAATTATGATAAAACGTTTTGATAATTACTAATAACGGATATAATAATCGGTTAAATATTGCAATATGGCAGTTTTTCCAGAATTCTAATACTATATTCTTTGACATCCAGCACAGATGAATAGCAAAAAAAACATAATCAAACATTTGATGGTGAATTAATCGACGAACTTCACTCTTCTTAATCACAATAATATTATTATAATTATAGCAATCCTTAAGCAATGACAAATAAGAATTTAGGAATGGAAGCGAAAATTTGATCTTTTTGAAATGTAAATTTAAAATTAAAGAGAATATTTAATTGAAACAAATTATTAAGCCTATCATAACATGCAATGACTAAATCAGTTTCAATTTTCCCCAATAAAAAATGTAAATGAATAGTAATATACCTTATAATAAATTCGCCATAAATAACGGATGTAAAAAAAAGTACATTGCGCTTTTTAATATCATTCCTGGCACTATCAATACATAACTGAAACAAGCATCATTTTATTTAGTTTCGAATTAATTATATTTTTATTTAATCAACAGTTGCTCTAATAAATCAATTATTATGATTTTATATAGAAATAATCTGTTAAATTTCAATAATTTCTAGCATAACTTTCTAGTATTTCTAGTTACATTTTCAAATTATTTTAATAACATTATGTATATTTTATTTTAAATTATGATCCTTTATTAGTTGAAATCAAAATCATGACATTCCATCATCACTTTTATGACTGGGCCAAATTAGTGGTATTAAACGAATACTTGAAAAAGATAAACAAAATGTTAATCAGACGAAGCAAGATTTAAATTGTTATAATAAATCCTTCATCAATTGTGAATATGATGAGAAATAGCAATTCCGAAATATGCTTAAATAACAAATTTTTTAAAATTCTCAACGAATCTAGCGTAAAACTGGCTCAGACTATTGTTAGAAATAAGCAGTAAATAAAGCACAATCATTTGTAATTTATAACTATTTCATTTAAAAACCTTAAATCGTTGAATGCATACTTCACAAAGATCATTAGAAAAATTAATCTGTGGAAAAGAATAAATAAGATTACTATGCGTTAGGAATGCAAATATTGAAAATATGAATGGTATAAAAGGCTTATTGTCATTTCTAAATTTATTTGTTTTAATAACCATTGTTAGTTGTGGATGAATTTCAATTAAGATGGATGAGAAGAGACGCAAATCATTCGTGAACAAAGTGAAGAAACTAATATCTCTCTCTGTAATCGTCAATCTTTTCTTCTCGTTTTTTTTTTAAAGTTTTTATTAACCATATTTTGTAATGAATATATTTATTTTACAGAAGGAAAGAAATCGAGCAAAACAAATTACTGAACCCAATTCACAGCGAAGTAAACACTGTATTTCATGTCTTTTTGTTTTATTCATGCCTTTGGCAAAAATAAACGATTTGACGAATATGCGTTAAGCAACTTTTGATAACTGATTAATTGATCATTTCTTATTCCATTATTTGTAAAGTTTTGTAAAGGAAAAAGTACGAGATTTTACTAAAATTCATAAGTTAAAATCGGAAAAAAATGCTTTTACCCATGTGAAATATGCCAAAACTTTGATTGTTCTTTTCATTAAAACAATAACTTATTTTGTCGCATTACCTGTTCCTCTAGCTTTTTTTTCAGTTCCAAACTTTCTCCCATTCCCTTCTTTTTCATTTCCTCATTTGTTTTAATGACAGTTGTTACTTAATTTTGTTCAAAAGTATGTTTTACTGAAACTGAAAAAAATTGAAAAAAGTAAATCTGAAATAAAATTATTTAATTTTAATCAAAGGCATTACGAAATGCTTGATTATAAAAACTAAAAACGATTTCAGCTTCAGCTCAAAGCATATCAACTAAAAAGTTGACAAAGCCTTCTCCTTCACCTGCATTTACACGTCGACTGCACCGTGCCAAAGTAAGTGACGAGAAGCTTCACACGAAGCAGTCGCGCAAGCAAAGTAAACGTGTTAACAATGAGAATCAAAATATTGCTAAGGTAATATGAAATTGGATTTCTTTCATGAATTTATTTGCTTTAATCTTAAATAAATTGCTATTAAACGTCTGCTTAATTTAGTATACTTTAATTTATATTACTCTCTGATTAAATATTGTTCAACTGATATTGTCATTTGACCTAACATTGATAAAAATGTTAGTATTGTGATGATTAGATGAAACGATCACTTAATGATAACAAGGTAACACTAATAAATAAAATTTGATTGATCGTCAGTGGTAAATAATTACATTACATTATTAATTTAAATTGAATTCAGTTTCAGTTAGTAATTAATTTATATTATTATCTGATTGTTACTTGACTTAATATTGATTGAACAGAGTAGTACTGAAAAGAAAAAGTATATATGCAGCAAAGATTAAAATGAGTTAAAGCAGATTTATGACAGAAATAAATTAAAATGCTCATTTAGCAATTCATCAGAGATCGAGCGTATAGTTATTTGTTTCTTCATTTAATTCATTCATCGCACTAATTATATTCATATTTTTCCGATAAAATTTCTTAAGAATTGTCATTTAATTTTTACCACTTATTACAGGTTAAAAAGTCGCCTAAAACAATTAAAAGTAAAGCACACGAGAGCAAATTTACATTAGATGAAAAACAAAAAGAAACGTTTGTCAATTTTATTAATGTAAATTAACAAATATATTGTTTTTTTTTTTTTTTTTTGTTATTACTAAATGTTTGTTTAAAATTTTAAAACTTTTGGAAGGATTTCTTTTGAAGCTGTAAGTCGAACAATATTAATTTAGGAAATTTATGATCTTGGTGTAAACGGATTGGTGCAACAGTTTGTGGACCAAGTTAGCACGTATAAGCCTAATAATGATCAGTGCGACGC